TTTTTTTTTTTGGTGCTAGTACCAGCGGTGTTTTTTTTTTTTTTATCATGGTAGCTTTGTAGTATAATTTCAATTTCAAGTCAGGGACTGTGATGCCCCCTGCCTTGCTTTTGTTGCCCAGAACTGCCTTTGCTGTTCTAAGTCTCTTCTGGTTCCAAATGAGTTTTTGGATTCTTTTCTCTAATTCTGTGAGAGATGTGCTGTTGAAATTTTGATCAGGATTTAATTAAATCTGTTGAACAATTTTGGAAATAAGGCCATTTTCACTACATTGGTTCCTCCTACCCAAGAAAAAAGGATATCTTTCCATTTTCTGATATCTTCTTCAGTCTCCTTTTTCAGAGTACCATAGTTTTCAATGTAGAAGTCTCTTACTTCCTTCATTAGATTGATTCCTAGGTATTTCATTTTTTGGATGCTATCTGAAAGTTGTAGTTCCCCTAATTTTTCTGTCAGTGATTTTGCTATTTGTGTACAGGACGGCTGTTGATTTTTGAGTGTTGACTTTGTATCCAGCTACACAACAGAATTTGGTTGTTAAATCTAGAAGCCTTTTGATGGAGTTTTGGGGGTCTTCTATACAGAGTATCATGTCTTCCACAAATAATGATAATTTAACTTCTTCCTTTCCTGTCCATATTCCTTTTATTTATTTATTTATTTTGTCTAATTGTTCTGACCAGTGCTTCCAGAACTATATTGAATAGGACTGGTGATAGTAGACATCCTTGTCTTGTTCCTGAATTTAGAGTGAAAGCTTTTAGTTTTTTTTTTTCCATTTAGTATGATGATAACTGTTGGTTTGTCATAGATGGCCTTTATCAGATTCAGATAAAGACCATCTACTCCAATTTTCTATAGAGTTTTTATCATGAATGGATGTTGGATTTTGTCAAATGCTTTTTCTCCATCTATTGAGATGATTTGTGGTTTTTGTCCTTGGCTCTGTTAATAGGGCATATTATGTTTATTCATTTCTGCATGTTGAACCAACTCTGTGTCCCATTTGGGCTGAATCCCACTTGATCATTGTGTATGATCTTCTTGATGATTTGCTTCATTCTGTTTGCCAGTATCTTACTGATTATTTTTGCATCTATGTTCATCAGGGAGATTGGCCTATAGTTCTCTTTCTTAGTTGGGTCCAAGGCTTTTGTGTTTGTAGGTTTTTAATTACATCTTCAATTTCATTGATTGGTATGAAATTTATATCTTTTTGATTCAGCTTTTGCAACCCATATGTATCTAGGAACCTGTCCATTTCTTCTATTTTCCATCTTATTAAAATACAAGTTCTCAAAGTAGATATAGATGATCTTCTAGATTTCTACAGGATCTGTTATGATTTCACCTTTTCATTTCAGTTGCATGGATCTGTGTCTTTTCTTTCCTTTTTTTGATAAGGTTGGCTAAGGGTTTGTCAATTTTATTTGATCTTTCAAAGAACCAATCTTTTGATTCATTGATTCTTTTTATTCTTTTCTTAGTCTCCATTGCATTAATTTCTGCTCTGATCTTAATAATTTCCTCTCTCATATAAGCTTTGGACTTGACTTGCTGTTCTTTTTCCAGAAGCTTGAGGTTCAACATTAAGTTTTTAAACTCATTATTTGAGTTTATTGAGTTTTCCTGATATGGGCATTTACTAACTTAAATTTCCCTTTCATTTTGTCTCATAATTTCTGGTATATTGCATTGGCATTATCATATAATTGTAGAAACTGTCTAATTTATTCTTTAATTTTATCTGTGACCCATTGGTTGTTCAGGAGGGTATTATTTAATTTCCACATG